GGTTTATCCACAGGAAGAGATTCGTTGGAGGGCGGACAGGTTTAGACTTGGTTGGACCCTGAGGAGCTATTGAGCGGACTGTCACTTGGAAATCCTGGAGGACTTGAACGGAACTTGTGCAGGTTAATCCCCTGCTCAGTGTGAGACTCAAACAATCCTTCCAGGGGAAGTAGGCCAAACATCCAGCTTGTAGGATGACTTCCTGCTGAAAAGGCAAAGACAAAAAGGGTTAGGCTCAGTGAAAACAAAGACTCAGTTAGACTCAGCAAAACTCAGCTTGGCTAGAGTACCCAAAACTGGCAAACACTCTGGCGCTGAGGTAGTAACATTCCATGGCTCAAATAGTCCTCAGTGATGAGTCAGCCAGTCGCAGGTGTGTGAGAGGACCAACGAGGACAAGGGCACCACCTGGTGGTGGAGGGAGAGAAAGACAAAAACACAACCCACACAAACTGGATTCCTAACATTCTGTCTATATAGTGAGCATTAGCATTCAGTTAAAACTCTTAAAACCATCAGCAGTTGAATCAGAAAGCTTATTTCAAATAAAATACCAACACATCTATTCTACCTATAGTTCCCCCAAGCAGAGCACTTATTAAGCATAAGATGGAAAGGCAGGGGGAAGGATAATGTAACTGCTTTGAGAGGTATTCTGCAGGCCCCGTCATTAGTCCAGTCCGTTTGTCCAACAGTAACTTAAAGAGATTTTGATCAATCCGATGCAATAATAAGAGGCAATTTTGCAAGGGGGTTAATTCTCTAACTCACGGTAGCACGGGACGTGTCCCTTTTAGCTATGGTGGTTGGCTTGTAGCCGCAACCTCCGCAGGTTTAACGGCTCATAACGGCTCCTTTGGCAAACAAAGATTCCCTCTTCTTTGTCTCTGCTGCAGCAGGCTTCAGGGGACACTGCATTTAACTCGGTTTGAATCACAGGAAGAATTAAAAACACTGTGTTCAGCTCCTTCTAAATCGCAGGAAAAAGGCAGTTTGACTCTGTCCAGGAAGCACAGACTTCTCCAGAGGGATTTCTTCACTACGTAGCGTAGCCTTCAGCTGGAAGCGCTTTGGCATCTAGCCTTTCGCAGTTGAGGACCACAAAATAGGATGCTGAAATGGGAAGTTACCTCTTTTATAACCTTCGCCAGGGGGGGGTGTCTTCAGAGTGGGACAGTTCTGGTTACATCAGTGGCACTTGATCAAAACAAAACTGTTTATATTCCTAAAATACTCAAAGATTTTTTTGAGTCTATTTTCTCAATGTAAAGCTGGTGTTTTTTGTTGCTCCCGCCTACTCCATCAGTAACAGTCGGCTGCATTCCCTGGCTGGTAATACTTGTAATCGATTGGAGGCTTTCACTTATTCTCAAATGTCCTGGTTCTTTTTACTCAACTCTGCAGGGAGCAATTAACGTTTTCTCATGAAACAGGCAGCTTTGTTCTCCAAATTCTTATGGTAATTTTTTGCAGTTCTTGTTGTTGTTGGGTTTTTTTTTATCAAGTCTGTTAATGATCTTATAATTAACTGTTTTCCAGTTGATGGACTGATGGAATTATAATGAGGGGACTCAAGCTCTCACAAACTAAAGAATAACATAGAAGGAAATGGAAGAAGAAACGCTGAACCAAGAACAGCTACAAGTGTGGACTTTTATAGTTAAACAGATCCCCATTTAATGAAAAAATGCAAAAAAGCGCACGTAAAAATACACCCTACAAAGGAAAATATATTGTATCAAAATCTAGAAAGTCATGCTCTTTTAAAGGTACATATAAAAATACATGATTTTTAAATGGGATATTTACTTCATGCAGTGCATTCAGTATGTTAAATATTAATTAGAGCATATATTATTGCTTTCAAGTTTAATGACTAGATAATTTTAAACTAAATAATTTATGAAATGATTAATAGTATCATTCATAGTTTATTTCAAAATCAATTGCACATAATGGGTCAGTTAAGCAGCTCCTGCAGGGTGGATGGACTGTTATGCAGGAGCTGCTGATTGGTACAAATCAGGTCCACCATATTTTGCCTCCAGTAACTTTGACTCAGTCAACCTCTCAAATGCTAATTTGAGTTAAAACCTTAATGCCAGGTTCTGCAATATGATTACCATCTTAAGCACAGTTTCTAACCTACTTAGCTATAATGCTCAGACTGAGTTTTTCATCCATTTTGGGTCAGTGGACATTAAATGCTTCTATGGAAAAAAGTCACTGGAGTTAACCAGTGAATGCATAACTGCATTATTTATGTATGATAGGTGCAAAACGTTCACTCATCTTAGCTTTATTCTGTTTAATTATTGTGACTATTGAGATAATTTTTTTTCCAAAAATAATTTGATTTTTTTTTCTGCGGCGTGAAAAAGTATGTTCTCTGTTAGGAACATTTTGTTAATATCCTAAATGCTTGTTCGTCTCTAGGAGGAATCAGGATCAGAAAAGCTATGATTAATATAAAATTAAATATTTAATAAATAATTAAATTTCAGCCACTGTTTTGAAAAGAGTAGCTTAATCAGCTTACAAGAGTAATAAAAAAATATTTTAATCATACCTGAAAACTATCTATCTTTAGGTGGTGCTACAGATGGAATGATGGTCTGGAGAAAAAGGGACACCATAACTGAAGATTAACACAATCATAATTAGCAATTCAGGAATATATATGGATTAAACAAATGCAAGCTTTATAAGAATAATGAAAAATAGAGAAAAATAATACACTTGAATTAAAAAAGATAATTCAATTTAGCCACAATGGATTATTTTCCAAAATGAGTGTTCATATTACACGTTAGGTCATACTAATCCAAAATTTCATTATTGTCCATTCTTTTTTTAAAAGTAACTTCCAGCTCCACAACAAAGAGGTTTTTAGTTTGCGCATTGTTTTCTGGGATGTTCTTAAAGTGAGGAATATCCATATTTCCTTGGTGATCTCAGTGTTGGGGAAGCAAACCAGCCCCATATCATCACCCTACCACCATGTTTATCTATCAGTATAACATCCTGTTTCTGAGATGCTGTTTTAGCTTTAGGTCAGCTAGACACGAACCACATCGTCTAAAAAGACCAACTTTGTCTCATATCAATCCACAGAATATAAACGTCTTAGGAATTAATAAGATGTTGGTTTTTTTGTAAATGTGAAACATCTGTTTGTGTTCTTTTGGGTCAGCAGTGGTTCCGACTTTGCAACTTTCCCATAGAGAACATTATGCTCACTCTCTCTTTCTCGATGTTGAATCTTGTACTTTGTCCTCAATTGAGACAAATTGCCTGCGGAGCTTTAGATATTGCTAAATGATACTTCCTAAATTAATCTTTGATGTACTTTTGAAATAATTTTGGTAGGCCTGCCACTTCATGGAGGCTTCATGTTTTCTCCATGTTGTTTTCTTCATGTTGTGACAATAGTTCTTGTGAAAGCTTTGGCTTTGTAATCCTTTCCAGACTGGTGGGTGTCAGAGACTTTGTTTTTTCCAGTGTTCTGATTTTTTTAGTATTGTTTCTTTAAATATATTTCTTTTAACAGAACACTTATTCTTTCATTATTTATTATACACATTAAGCAGGTCAGATAAAAGTCCTGGATTAGACTAGTAAAAAGTAACTTGTTGTTCTTTTAATCACAACATTTTCAAAATGAAAGTTACTTTTTTTTCTCCATAACTGTAAAATCATTATTTGGAAACACTTTTTTGTATTTTCTCAGGTTATCTTTACCCAGTATTAATATTGTTTTATGATCTGATATATTTAAGTGTGAAAAATTTTGCACTAGGTTTTTACGGCGCTTCTTTGTGGTTATTATGAGCTGCTTAATAACCTGAATGAAAGGTGAATATCTCTGGCTTCATCTTCTTAGATTTAATTTGTTTCACCACAAAAAGACTCTGCTAATAGTACAACTTGGAGGAGTCTATAGATTTCTGGTTTAAATAAGTTTGGATCTGTTTTAAAGTCAGTGTGAAGTTAAGTTATCTAACAGAAATCTGCAGCTGGTTAGGCATTAATGAGATATTGACTACATTTTTATTTTTAAGCAGACTAAGTTGCTTCCATCAGAGCCTGCACTGCTTTCTAAGTTAAGAGTAGCAATGGATTTTAAAAGCGTGCTCATACTTCTGCTTTAATTGCAGTGTGTTAAGACTTGATAACTTAAGATTCACGTAAATCATCTCCACAGTTTTTAAAGTTTGAAGCGCAGATATATTCTTTCCAATTTCTAATGAACAGCAATCAAAACAAATATTTTGAAATGGTTGCAAAGGGGTGCTTGCTTTAATGAGTACTTAAAGCATTTTTTAATTATTTTAAATTTGCCATTAATGATAGCACATATAAAGAAGTTGAAATAAAGTTCGGATTTCCTAGGATTTTTATTTCTTATTTTCATCCTTTAGCTAAATATAGGTTTTTAGATTGATTGCAAAGGATGTAATGTATCTCATTATCATCTCATTCTTCTGTATCTGTTTTTTACAGGAACTCTGGTTCCCTACCAAAATCTGAAACCATGATTCTTACATTTACTGGTCTATATAGATTTTCCTTACTGAAGCTATGTGTGTGTGTGGCACCCTCAGATGGATGAGCAACCTGTCAAGACTGTCCTCCACCTCTTTCTCGATATATTTCATGGTTAGGGGGATCAAGATGGATTATGAGGAATCTTATTTTTAAACATCCCAGTGAGTCAAAAGCATACCACTACATCAATAGACCATCTTAAAACAGAGCTTTGTGTAACCTGGCTGATAATATGTGGGGTCATTTTAAATAGGACTATGGAGAAAATATTTTCTTCCAGCTTTTCGTAGGCAGACTTATATATATAAAAAAAAAAAAGTCATAATGTGGAACTTGCCCTTCCAAAGATGTTTAAATGCTGAGACTGATTAAAAAAGTTCTTCAAAGTTTTACTTTTAGGCTGAGAGCCCTTGTATTTAACCCAACTCTGACTGCTTCTTTGTACTTTTTAGGTCATGGGCTACTGGTACTTTGGCTCCACCTGGTGCTCCTTTTATCTGGCTTTGGATGTCCTCTTCTGCACCTCCTCCATTGTCCACCTCTGTGCCATCAGCCTAGACCGATACTGGTCCGTCACCAAAGCTGTCAGCTACAACCGCAAACGGACCCCCAAACGGATTAAAGTGATGATCAGCATTGTGTGGCTCATATCCATCGTAATCTCCTCCCCACCTCTCCTCATGTCCCAGAAAGACAGTGACTCTGACACAGAAGATGGGCGTGAGATGAGCAGGCAGGAGTGTCTCATCAACAACCAGACGTGGTACATTCTCTCCTCCTGCATGGTGTCCTTCTTTGCCCCTGGTGTCATCATGATCCTTGTATACTGTAAGATCTACCGCGTGGCCAAGCAGAGAGCTTCCACCGTGTTTGTGGCGAAGAATGTGATGGAGAGGCAGCCGTCACAATCCGAGACCTGCTTTGTTGGCGCTGGAGGTACCTGCCAGAGAAAAGGCAAGGCTCAGTATGAGCCTGAGAGCCCCCTGCCTGGACACCGACGCAACTCCTCTCACGTGGATAGCAACAGCAGCATTCATAGAAGAGGAGAGCTGGATGATATTGATTTAGAGGAGAGGAACTCTGAACCTGATGTGAAAGAGACATTTTCCTCAACCCTCCGTTTCCCCCGCAGAGTTGTTGGTAGAGGAAAAACAGATGATGGCAAGGACATTGAAGGAACAGCCAATAGACTCAAACTTCCTCCTCCTCCACCATCCTGCGCCTCCATATCTTGGGCCTCCTCTGACCAGTGCTCACAGAACCTCCTGCTGCCATCTCCGCTCCCTGTCCGCAATAGACAGATGTCTCTGTCCAAAAACAAGGTGGCACAGATGAGAGAGAAGCGCTTCACCTTCGTCCTGGCTGTAGTGATGGGGGTTTTTGTGCTTTGCTGGTTCCCGTTCTTCTTTACATACAGCCTACAAGCAATCTGCAGAGAGAATTGTACCATTCCAGAAACGCTGTTTGATCTGTTTTTCTGGATCGGATACTGCAACAGCTGCCTGAATCCCATCATTTACACAATTTTCAACCGAGACTTCCGCAGGGCTTTCAAGAAGATTCTGTTCCACGTGCATAAAAAGACATGAGAGGATGTGTTTGAACGTGCGCAGGTTCAGTCTTGTTCTCCACTGTGCTGTCAAATCTACATTAAAGGGCTTGTCATACAGCCGGCGTATTGCCTCATTATTCAAGAGTTCCTGTCCATCCACCCATCCATCCATTAACCTAACCTTTGTGAGAAAAAAAAAATCTGATCTAAATTCAGTGCAAGTTTCTGACCAATGAATCTTGAAAAGTTGGAATAATAGATATGGAGACTGTGTATGAAATCTGTCATTCTTCCACTGTCTAATCTAATAAAAAATCAATTTTCTTTTCCATCAAAGGTAGATGACTGAGACAATAACTCAACAAGGGAAGGTGTTTCAGACTCTGCTTCCTTAAGGTCCCGTAATATATCTTGAATTGTGCCTGAACTGGAATCTTAATTAGGCCAAAATGGCTGCAGGGCAGTAAACTTGGTCCCCACAGACCATTTGGATGTCTGCAGCACAGAGCCTGACTGGATCTGTTATCCATATATTGACAGAAACTAGAGAAAAGCCATAGGGAGCCAAGATAAAACAAGTTTGCTCTAAATAAAATCACAAATAGTTGTTAAAGCAACTCTGGCACCTTAGAGAGATTAAACACAAGCAGCAACTGAGGTTCAAACTTTTATTTAGACTGCTGACAATCAGATGAGCTGACAGAATGAAAGTTGGTGTTTTTTTATGCTGAAACAATCGTCTGTTGACACTGCCAGCTTGAGGGCAAAAACATTAAAAATTCATGTGCCACTAACAGAGGGGTTCAGCTGCTGCAGAATGGAAGAGGGACAGAAAAAAGAAAACTGAGAGATGAAGAAGACAAAAACTCTGCAAGACTGGAGAGAAAGAGTAAACGCAATAAAGCGAAGACTCATACAGCTGTGGATAATGATCTTCTAATATTCACGATGAAACAACTAGACCATATGACTTAAAGCTCACATTTCTTTTTTTGGAGAGCACTGGAGAGGTGAAAAAGAATCACAGATAGGATAATCTATTGATGCAGATTGTGGAGCAGATTGCGGAGCATTTTGTGCAGAGCGGGATCTGGTGGTTTGAAGATGATAAAGTTGGAGCTTCATATCTTTTCAAACAGACCGTAAGTGTCTGCAGCTGTTTATAGAGTGATAAATCATAAATATTTTCTGGTTGCTATGCAACTCAGAGTTTTACAGAAACTTATTTGTAAATTCATAGTAATTTTGGATGTAATGACTATTTAAAATATATATTACAAAGGCCTTTTTTAAGGACTGGGTGAACAAGTTTGAGTGATTGTTGATTTTTTCTAATCCAGTCAAATTACAAAAGCAAAAGAGATATAGACACAGTATGAACAACATCACTGTTTTTTTAAAGATTTATTTATATGATTTATATGGTTTATATGGTGATCAACCTGATCAATCCGCTGTAGCTTGTCATTCGACCACACCACTTGACCGTTTGAAAGAAACCCATTGTACTTGACTGGTTTACCTGCAGAGAGGAGGACTTTAGGCATAGTTTATACCTTTTCAATAAGTTGGAGGTTTGAGCTTTGGGGGGACCACGTTCACAACTTTTCCCACCCGAGTATGGGTTTGTGATTGGGATTTATTTCAGGTTTGTTCTGCTCATTCTGGTAATGTCAGCATGTTAACTTGTGTCAGAGGTGATTCTGTAATGATCTGGTCTGTTTGCTCCTCCTTAATTGATAATCTCTTTCACCTGCCGTTTTCCCTCCCTGCCTCAGTTATAATTTATTCCTCTCACCTGTTTCTTCTGGGTTATATTCTGTTCAGCCTGAGCATTTGGGTCCAGATCATTATTTGTTTTCAGTTAGTTATTCTGTTCAGTCTGTTTATTTCACGGTTTATGTCCTGGATCCTGGCGGCCAGTGGAAAGAGGGTTTTTGTGTCTGTCTCGTCTCCTGATCGTCCACTGTTCCTCCCCCGCGGAGTCCTCTGGGTTTTTGGCTCTATATGTGGGGAGGTTCCGTTTTTATTCCAGTAGGCCTGGCTCCAGGGAGGAGACCAGTTTAAAGTTCCTGCATCAAGTTCTGGTTCCATGTCCTGTCTCGGCTACCCTCTTCCACTGAGCCTGCTCATCTGCACCTGATCGTGTCTGCTTCTGTGCGTGACCTTCTGGCCACGCTTCTGAACCCTGTCAGGATCTGAACCTGTCTGGGAGCTTGTTTTTGCCTGGAAGCCTCTATCCTGTCACCTGTCTGTTCCTGCCTGATCTGGATCGGTCTGATTTGTCTGTTCCTGTCTGCCCTGTATCCCTGCCCTGGATCAGCTTCCCACAACTCCTCCGGAGCTGAAGCACAGGGGACACTCTGGGTGACGCGAGCCACGTCAGCTGTCAGCCCATCGGCTGGATAGCACCCCCCTCAAGGGGTATGGACTGAACTGCTAAACCAGAGTGTCTGAGATTGGGCGGTGCCCCGCCCCCCTCCTGCAGAATCCGCAAGCCACAGCTCCACTTTAGTTTTCTTTAATAAACATTTTAAACTTTCCTACTGACTGTCTCTCCCTGAATACTGGGTCCATCTGTCCCTGTTTTTTGACAGATTCATCCTCCAATGGCTTAAAGGTATAGTAGAGGATGTTCTATTTCCGGGTGGATCATCAAAATAAGTGGTCCTCCTAATTGTCATTCTTTCATTCATACTGGTGAATGCCAACCTATATGCTCGTCCCTTTTTTCACTTTACTTAAGGCTGACATAGTGGAAAGATTACAAATCTTTTTTTGGAAAGTAAGCTTGTATGAGAGATGCAACTTTTAAACAGAGCGTGCAAGAGGAGAAATGGGCTCATGCATGCTATCACAAGCGTTTAATATGCGTTCTCTCTTTGGACTGTGTAAAGGGTTGTGTATATGCATTTCTTTCTTAAGTGGAGAGGGTGGGTACTTTAAAAAATTTGCGAAAATCCTCCACTATACCATTAAGTGTTTCCTTATTTACTTGTTAAACATCTTTTTCATCTTTCTACTGATGGTCACAGGTTTGGTGTCCCCGGTTGATGTTGTGATGAACCTGCTAAAGAGTAGCGTTCCCGCAGAATAATGCTGCTTCGAGTTTACCAAAGCCATTTTCATGCAGACCAAAAGTTCAGATTTGTTTTCACCTGATGGCAGCTCCTTCTTCCATATATGTCCTTTCCTAAAGCTGGTTACTGTCTCCAAACAGGCTTTGTATGTAGCTTTCAGTAGACATGGTTTCCTACTGTCACTCTTGTCGACAGAGTCTCCCACTTGAGCTGTGAATCTCTGTAGAATTTAACACTAAAATAAAATGAGTTTTTTTATGCATCCATGTTATAAATTGAATTTCTAAATAAAAATAAAAAATTGAAAAAAAAATTGAAAAATTTTCCATCTAAAATCTACAACAATTCCATCTAGCAATCGTTGAGTTTGTTACATAGACAGTTTCCTGATTCACATATTTTATAAAACACCTGAACTGACGGTCTGTTTGTTTTTCTTTCTTTTTTCTGGCTTAATGAGAGCAGTGGGCTTTAGGCTGCCCTGCAAGGCTTTAAACCTGGGTTTGAATGGCGACAAAGTCATTCTCAAGCACATATCAAGGTGCTCATTGTGAGTCTTGATCGATATTTATTTTATTTGCTTCACAGCAGTAGGTTCAGCCAAACAAACTCTAACTGTGCAGGGTTATCTTTGAGCACACTATTACACTTTTCTTTCACTAGTTCACTGCAGTTCTTCCAGCAGTCCACACTTTCTCTGCTCTATTTTTCTCATTGTCTTCTCCTTCTTTATCATCGCCCATCTTGCCAAAGGTTTGCATGATGTGTCTAAAAGTGGCTTGCCGCAGTTACTCTGACTGACACAGCCCATTGGTTGATATTTATCACATGTAGCCTGGCCCTGGGCGATCCAGAGGGCTTTACCTTATTAACAGGAGAAGACACTGTCGTTGGACAACATTTGGTAATTTAAATGTTTTAAATTACAGGTGCTGGTCATAAAATTAGAATATCATGAAAAAGTAGATTGATTTCAGTAATTCCATTTAAAAAGTGAAACTTGTATATTATATTCATACATTACATACAAACTCATATATTTCAGATGTTTATTTTGTTTAATTTTGATGATTACAAATGACAACAAATGAAAATCTCAAATTCATCATATCAGAAAATTAGAATATTACTGAAGACCAATAAAAACAAAGGATTTATAGAAATGTTGGCCAACTGAAAAGTATGAACATGAAAAGTATGAGCATGTACAGCACTCAGTATTTAGTTGGGCCTCCTTTGGCCTGTATTACTGCAGCAATGCGGCGTGGCATGGAGTCGATCAGTCTGTGGCACTGCTCAGGTGTTATGATAGCCCAGGTTGCTCTAATAGTGGCTTTTAGCTCTTCTGAATTGTTGGGTCTGGTGTATTGCATCTTCTTCTTCACAATACCCCATAGATTTTCTATGGGGTTAAGGTCAGGAGAGTTTGCTGGCCAATTAAGAACAGGGATACCATGGTCCTTCAACCAGGTACTGGTAGCTTTGGCACTGTGTGCAGGTGCCAAGTCCTGTTGGAAAATGAAATCTGCATCTCCAAAAAGTTGGTCAGCTGCAGGAAGCATGAAGTGCTCTAAAACTTCCTGGTATGTGGCTGCGTTGACCCTGGACCTCAGAAAACACAATGGACCAACACCAGCAGATGACATGGCACCCCAAACCATCACTGACTGTGGAAACTTTACACTGGACTTCAAGCAACGTGGATGAAGTGCCTCTCTTCTTTTCCTCCAGACTCTGGGACCTTGATTTCCAAAGGAAATGCAAAATTTACTTTCATCAGAGAACATGACTTTGGACCACTCACCAGCAGTCCAGTCCTGTTTCTCTTTAGACGCTTCTGACGCTGTCTGTGGTTCAAGAGTGGCTTGACACAAGGAATGCGACAGCAGAAACCCATGTCTTTCATACGTCTGTGTGTGGTGGTTCTTGAAGCACTCACTCCAGCTGCAGTCCACTCTTTGTGAATCTCCCCCACATTTTTGAATGGGTTTTGTTTCACAATCCTCTCCAGGGTGCGGTTATCTCTCTTGCTTGTACACTTTTTTCGACCACATCTTTTCCTTCCCTTCGCCTCTCTATTAATGTGCTTGGACACTGAGCTCTGTGAACAGCCAGCCTCTTTAGCGATGACCTTTTGTGTCTTGCCCTCCTTGTGCAAGGTGTCGATGGTCGTCTTTTGGACAACTGTCAAGTCAGCAGTCTTCCCCATGATTGTGTAGCCTATAGAACTAGACTGAAAGAC